AAGACCCAAAAGGAATTTTTAGAATCAATGAGATCAGTGGGGATGTCTCCGTGACTCGAGCCCTTGATAGGGAAGCAATTGCCAATTATGAGGTGAGTACTCCTAGCAATAGCATCTCTGCCTCTATGTTGATAATATGTATTTTTTGAATGTGCATTTGTCTTTGAAAGGGCTGCAGTTATTGAAGACTAAATTGCAGATACTGTCTTATAAAATTTCCAGAAGAACCGTTTGTCCTTTGGAAATGGTAAACGTGTTTATTTTTACATGTAATTGAAACTCTACTCTGCTTTCTGCATGTAACGTCTGTCATTTATCTTTGGTAGAAATACTGTCTGAACATTGTGTTATGCATTTGATTTGTGAATACAAAATTATGTTGGGACAAAAGGAGATCTATCCAGGAAGTTGCCACTAAGGTAGTACACGGTCATACTTTTTCTTTTTTATTGCCAAGCTGTCAATGGAATATATTATTCAATTCCAGTTTTAGTAACAGTTATCTTTTAATAGAGATAAAGAAGATTCTGTTAATATGAAAATGTTAGCAGATACATCTCTGTCAGATGTATGTCTCCTACAAAGATTTTCCTAAAGATTCCCTTCCTTGTTAATAAATACTATGTTTCTCCCCACTGAAATTCTAACAAATGATCTCTGAAATCTGTGTCCTGAAACACGTAGTATAAATCTGTCAATTCATGTTTTCTATCCAGCTCTTGAAATATGCAGTCAGATAAAATGTGTCTGGCCACTTTGATATAGAAGAGCAGCAGAATTCAAAACACATAATGGTCAGTATGTTTGCATGTTGCCACTTCTGCCATAGCATGGAGGATGGACCTCTGTACCCTCATGCTTCAAGGGTGCATGTGGAACTCCAGCCTGTCTGGGGCACAGGCTCTGGTGACAGTTCTGACTGCTGTCCCTGACCTCTTCGTTTTGTCTTCTGCTGTATAGTAATCAATACTTGTACTTTCAATGCTGTTTCTCTCCTCCTCTGGAAGAGTTTGCTAGTTAGATGACTAGTCATATTTTCTCAAACAGCACTGCTAAAATTTACCATATGCTGGTTTTCAACACGTAAACATCTATTTCTCATCCAGGTCTACAGTGAAATGTATGTTAACCACTCACATAGGATTTATGGTAGTTACTGATGTCCTTCTTAAAAGAAAAACATTGCAGTTTCTCTTTTTAACACCTTTCCTCATCTTCATTTCCCAGCTGTTTCTTATTTTCTCAGTGGCTTTGCACCTCAATGTGTACAGTATAAACCTTAAATATTTCTTTTACTGGAAAATCATAGTAGTCTTTTCAACCTGATGCATGAAACCACAAATGGCCCCTTCTGTCTGATCTGGCAAAGCATGCACTTAAATTAAGACAAAAACATTTCCCTAGAGGAACCTTTTTGAAGCAATGCAAATTGTATACAAATAGTGCAGTGTAGTAGATTATCCAGAGCAATGTGAATGTATATCCTAATAGGCTGTAGTGCTTTCTAACCTGTTATGTAGCACTCTGCTCAGCGTGCTCCCTGGCGTCCTGTTGTGCAAAATGTAGTTGAAAGGTTCTGTAGGAGAACCCTCAACTTGATTAGTCTGTCTTTGAATCCAGCCCATTGTTTTCCAATATAGATGTATCACGGTGTCAAGAAGGCAGCAGGATTTTCTCCCTGATTTCCTTGGTACGTTGAAAGATGAATTACCTGAAAGACCCTTAAGCTTTTCTCATAAGTGTTTTTGTTTTCTGTTTTTGTTTGAGCTCCCCCCCTGCCCAGTATTGGTGCCCTGAAATAAAAAGCTCAAAGCAAAGGGCAAACAAGGAAAGAATAGATTTTCATGAAAAAATACAAGTTCTTTGCAAGGCATCATACCATTGAGTATATAATCAGTGGTGGGGCATGGATAAAAAGATAAAATCTGTTTGAATCCTTCTAGCTACACAGAGGGCTGCTGTGCATGAGCACTGATTTATTTTTTTTTAGTATGTTTAGTGCTTATACACAGGTGATGAGAATAAAAAATGTTAATAGGGCACAAAATAGAGCTCTGGTGATCACAGTATTTCATGGAACTTAGCAGATTTTACCATCTGTGTACCTCAAAATGTTTTAAATTAGCTAAGAATATTTGATCTATCATAAATATTCGTTGTTGTTTCTTTCATTGAATGTTTGAAATTCTGCTTCTTGCTGCCCTCTTTCTCCTGGAGGAATATTGAAAAACCTGTAGGAGTTTTTCCATATATTCATTACAAGAGAAACGTGATTAAATTACAGGAGTCCTGAATTCTACTCAGACAACTGTTGATTGTCTGAGTTAATCCCCTCTTTCTACTGTTAAATATTTTATTTTTAGTAAAAGATAGAAAATATTTTAAAATAGAGTGAAAAAAATCTGTCTGAGTGTCAGGGCCTGCCAGTCTACTTGGTGCAGCCCCGTTGCATGGCATTTGCTTTTTTTCAGATGAGTTTAGATTCTGTTTGTCAGCAAAATAAACTCGAGCTGGCAAGAGGAACGTAAGGCAGCTAGCTACGTTAATGACACACACAGACACCCATTCCCCCAAAACAGACTTATTTATCCAATTTATTTTTGAGTTTATTTTTTGTGAAATTAGTTAAATTGTTCAAAAATGGACAAGTATGTGAAATTCCACCAAAATATTAATGTTGGTGTGATTGCCATAGTAATTCTGACCTAATCACCCGCACATTTGAAGATGTGATGGTTTCTATTGAGAAAATGAAACTGTGCCAAAGGACGCTGGGTGAGACAGCAAAAGTCCAAACCCCACCAAGTTGAAATTAGCCATTAGTAATTATTTTTTTTTCTCACATGTATGGAACTATGCTAATGAAATCATGTTTACCAATGGAAGAAGGTAGGCTCTTCTGGTGTGGTGCTTCCCTGTAACTTTGTGGGGTGCCTCCTTAAAGGTCAGAGAATATCAGTCAGCTTCAGTTTTAAGTGAGAGGTGTTTATGAAAGAGGAAGAGGATGTAAGGATGTTGTTATGCCCAGCAAAGACAGATTGTTTTAGAAAAGTGTGTAGTAATGCCTTTTTTCTTCTAAAGAGGTCTGATACAGAGCATTCTGATAGGAATTCTCTGGATCACACTAAACCACTGGATTTACATTGAATGGCTTTATTTTGGGGCTTACTACAGCCTGTTGATGAAACTACTAAATGATGCTCTGAAGAAGGGGCTTAAGCAGAATATGGCCATGTTATTGAATTGTTTCTGGGTTGGTGAGATAAGCAGGTAGCCTAGAGCCCCTATTAGTGGGAGCAAAAGGTGGTCAGTTGTACAAATACTCTCTCAGAAATGTCTTATGTTTTCTTGCAAGATTTGAATAAATACCACTAGGTGGAAATTTCAGACAATAACCAAATCATTTATTTATTTAGGATTGAAAAATGCAGATGTGAAAAAACAGATAAGGAGCTTGGTGGGGAGACTTAAAGTGGATTTTCTAGTTCAAACCAGTGAGGTAAACAACATCCAAAAATTGACAATAATCTACGAAATCTGAGCTTGCTTCAGGTCCATAGTCTCTTCTGATTCCAGCTGAGCAGATTTCAGTGACTTTTCAGTTGCATCTTTTAGCAATCTTTTAAAAAAGAATTGAGTGCTTCTAAAGAGAACTGCAGTAACAGAACTAAAGGATTCCAATGAATTTGGAAGCCTGGTTGTGCTAAGTGTTGATAAAAGACTAGTGAATTGGGAAACAAAGGTTCCAATAGAGGGCCAGGCTGAAAAACAGTGGTTATGGGGTAATCTGTTAATTAAAAACATTGAGCTCATTTTCAAAACCTCACATTTACATAGATAATGTATTTCTAGGCAGAATGCTTTCATGCAAGTAAAAGCAAGAATGGTTGCATATATTGATTACCATGACCAAGATGACAAAAATTGCTAAGTTAAAGAAGTATGTTTTCATTTTTACTCAAAGTTAGGTAGGCTCAGAAGAAATGGAACAGCATTCCATTAACTTTTTACATGAGATTTTGGTTAGGCATTCCTTGGGTACAGGACAAAGCCTGAAGTTGTATAAACTTGTTTCCCATCGCTTAGCACTGCACGTAATCCCTGCAACAGTAAAATCCAGTTCTGTAACCTCTTAGGCATCAAGGGTAAATTGCCAACCAGTCAATGGGGGGCTGTCAGTTGGGTCTCAAGATTTTAAAGGATGTTGCCATAATTGAAGAGCTTTTTCATAACTGCTTGCCAAGTGTAAATATGTGTGAAAGAGAAATAATCAAAAATGATCCTTTGCAAGCATGAAAAGAAGCAGCTTGATAAAACTATTCAGTGACAGTGTGCAAATTAGAGCTGTGACTAAATTTACCTAGGCAATTTGAACTGTTAATGAAGAGTTAGTTTTAATTATTTTTAAGTAGAGAGCTTTATTTGCTTTAGAAAATACTTAACAAGCAGAGGTGTGAAAACAGCTTTTTTATGACAGATCACACTTCTATGAAACGATGCCTTGCAACTGGTAGCGACAGACTGAGATATTTAGAAAACCTATGTTAACAGGACTGAAAAGCAAATTAGGACTATTCGCTCCCTGTAGTATTGTTTCTATATGTTGGATAACAAGTAGACTGAGACCAGGCTAAAGGATTCAGACTAATCAACAGCAACCAAATCTCTAGTGTGAACTGCTGCACTTTGGGTTACATGAGACTGCTGTTTCTGTGGCTGAGCCGAACATTCAGGGTGATGCTGCAGTCCTAATAGACTCTATTTCTGTGTTTTAATATGGAACAAATAATGGAAACGCTTCATAATCATGAGGAAGACTAGCTTAGTCAGGTGCCAAGGGGTATTTTGTGAGAAAGATTTTTAAGTACTTGAATGTGTTTCTGCAGATACTGAAAGTATTACTGTATGAAAAAAAAAAAAAAAAAAAAAAAAAAAAAAGTAGCTGTGAACAGCTGTAATTTATCCTGTACAGAAGAACGAATCTGTCTTCTGTATAAGTCCATTTTAGTGCAGCCACATCCTTTTCACAATGATTTATCATACCCTGATACTGAATCTCTGCAATATGCAGTGTGGAGATCTATAGACAGCA